GACCAGATGCTTTAAATTAGAAATCAGTAACAATAAGTACTTACAATAAGTACTTACATATTTTGATATTTATTTGTATACTTCCAAATAACTCGTGAGTCAAAGGAATCACAAGGAAAACCAGAAAATATTTTGAACTCAATGATAATGATGGCACCCACCAGAATTATGTGATGCAGCTGAAATAGTACTTTGAGGGGAAATTTAACAGCGTGAACTGCCTTTCAGAAGAGAGAAAAAGTTTCTAATTAATGATCAAAATTTCTTCCTTAAGAAACTAACCAAAGCCAAGTAAAAGGAGGGACACAAATTAAAGGTGAAAATCAACAGAAAAAATAGAAGACACGAATTACCAGTTTCAAAAATGAAAGAGGGGACACCACTACAGATCCTGTAGACATTAAAAAGATACTAAGGGGTGTTATTTACAAGTTTATGCCGATACATTCTAGAATCTACATGAAAAGGACGCAGTCCTTGAAAGACACAACTTAATAAACCTGATGCAAGATGGAAAAGAAAACTTTTAATATCCCTTATTGACTTTAGAAAGAAAATTTGCAATAAAAAAGCCTTCACACAAGGATAATGTCAGGGTGCGATGGCTTTCGTTACTATGATCTCTACTAAATGTTGAAAGAAGAAATAATACCAGTCCTCTAAGAACTCTCCTAGAAGCAAAGGGGAGTAAACGCTTCTCCAGTTAATTTTGTAAGGTAGCATAACCCATCAGGGAATCAGAGACCAATATTCATGAAGAATATAGACAAAACTTGTTTTAAAATGTTGACAAATTGACTTTTGCTTCAACCCAAGAAGGATTAACTGCCACAGGAGTAGCTCTTCTGTTGGAAACAGTTAGAAAACTGGACCAAATATGTGAAACAACTATGCTCAGACATTGGACAACGGGCAGTGCAGGGCTGCGGCCTGAGGGAAGGGCCATAAACAGCGGGCAACTGGCTGTCATTCAGGTTGCATTTGAAGGCCGCTTCCGGGCTGCTGCACAGTTAGAGGGAACCTGACTAAACCTGGTGTCTGCTGAGTTAAGGAAGAGGACAGGGGAGTTTGGGGGGCTGGAGAAGAGGGAGGTCTAGATGCCCTGAGGCTGCCATCAAGTCCTTGGCCGAGTACCCATCTGCCAAGGAGCGGGCGAGAGTCCATGAACTGGGGAAAGTCACCTGGAAGGAAAATATGAAACAGCTTCCAGAGTCGTGGGCACTGTGTGCCAGAGAGAGAGCACACGTGGGAGCCTTGTGATTGAGCTAGCGAGAGCCTGGAAGAAAAAGCCTCTTTTCTGTAGTGCCTTCCAGCAAGCTCTGCTGGAAAGGAGAACATCACACTGGCTGGCAAGGGAAGAGCAGTTGCAGGACTTGGCACTGCTGTTATAGAGGTGATCCGTTGATTCTTGGGACATCCAGTGTTCCACAGAAAAGTACCCAGCTTGCAATGAAACAGGAAAACGTGACGCATAGTCAGAAGTTAGTGTCACACATCATCATCATCATCATCATCGTCGTCATTGCCATCAACAACAGAACTGTGAACAACTCAGTAAAAGATACGTACCAGTAAAGGATGAGTACTTCAATATGCACTTCACAAACAGTTAGATGTGGCCGATAAATGTGGAAATACATTCAAGGAACAGCCTTGTTGGCCATCACAACATAACTAACTCACATCGCTGTGCAGCACCAGGTAACAACAAAAGAGAAAGATCAACGCACTAAATTTTGACCAGGTTGTGCAGCACTTGAAACTAGTACGTTACTGGTGGATAGAGTAAAATGGTACCACAGTTTTCTTTTACACATAAAGATAAACATACATTAACCCTCTGATCCATCTATTCTGCTCATAATATTTCCTAAGAGAAATGAAAACATCCATATGAATGTTGGAGCAGCTTCTTCATGGCGAAAACTTGCAACTGTCCGAGATGTGTAGGAATGGGTGGATGTGTAAACAGATTGTGTTGTGCTCACAGAGTAGAATCCTGCTTCTTCTTGTAGTGAACGAAATACTGGTTCCTGCAACACGTGACTTTTGGAGACACATTTTGAACAAAAGAAGTAGTGTGCGGGAAAGTATTACTGCATGTAGTGTTTATATGAATTGTAAGAACCACAAAAACTCATCTGTACTGACAGGTGTCAGCAGGTATCACAAGGTAGTTCAGGGCGTAGGCAGAATTACTAGAAAAGAGTGATAGAAATGTCTAGATTTTGTTGGATGGGCTATGCTAATATTTTTTATATAAAATTATACTAAAAATATTATTACCAGCCCCAAACAAGCAACCAACCAGTCAGCCAGTCAGTCAGCTACCCAGCCAGCTGACCAACCAGCCAACAGTACGTCCGTCCGTCCGTCCGTCCATCCGTCCATCCGTCCATCCACCCATCCGTCCATCCGTCCATCCACCCATCCGTCCATCCGTCCATCCACCCATCCACCCACCCACCCATCCATCCATCCATCCACCCACCCACCCATCCATCTAGCCAGTTAACCAGCCCCGCCTCCTGACAGCAAGCTAGCGTGAGGTCCAGTCCTCTTCCCAACCCTAGCTATGAGCACATGGTGCTCTTAGGGGAACATTCTTGATGTAAACCATAGCAGTGAACTTGGGAGTTTTTTCTCTCATAATTCTTTAAGTGAAGCCTGGTAGTGTTTTCCTGTGGTACTGCGTGGTTCTTGTGAAGCCCATGGCACTTTCTGTTTCTCTTCTTGCCGGTAGAAAACCTGCTGATTTTGGAACGTTCTTATACCTGGCCGTCCTGCTTAGTAGCTCAAACCTCCGTTTCCTGCCTGGTCTTCCTCCCTCTTGTGGTTGGCTTTCTCCTCAGGCTGGTGGAGCACTGGATAGTTGCTGAGATCCTAGCCTCTTGTCTGATCATGGCACGCTCAGAAGAGAAGGTCGCCTCCAAGTGGTTTCTCAGGAACGACAAGTGTTCTCAGAAGCCCGGGGAGTGTGTGCTCAGTGGCTCAGGTGTTCCCGGTCCACTGGGTCTCAGCCACTCGGAGGCTCACTTAGCTCCGCAGAGGGTCCACTCAGGTACATGTTTGGGGTGGGGTGAGGTGGGCTCGGTTTCCCCCGCCCCAGGCTGCAGGGGGAGGTGTGCTCACTTTGCACAGTTGGGGTTCAGGCAGAAAGGGGAGGATGGGTCCTGGCTTAAAGTCTCTCCTGGGCACCTGTCATGATGGCGTTTCCCCATCAGCCTGATTCAACACATGGAACAGCGGTAAGATTTCCTACGCCGGACCATTCCCTCACTGCTGGGGGAAGTCCTGCTTGTGCATATTGTTCTCTGGCCATCCTGCTGTGTTTTGGTGGGCTAAGATTTTAGATCGGCTCTCTCTGCGAACCTGACATTGTTTGCTCCAGAGTTCTTTTAAGAATCAGCGGTAACATGGAGGGGAGGGGTCCCGGTGTTGAGGCAGCTTAGTTTCTGTGTGGCCTTGGTCGAGTCCGCAGCCTCCCTGAGACCACGTCTCATCTGCATGATGGCACTCACAGCCCCGACGAATTCAGGCTGTTCTCGGAACCAAGTGAGATCACACACCTGAAAACTCTCTAAACAGAGAGAGAACTGTGTCTCCTGCTGTGTATTCAAGATTTTTGACTTTTTGAGAGTTCCTTTTAATGAGGAGACAGGTTCAGAGAATGTCAACGAGCCGGTTTTCTTTGCTGTTTTTTCTGAAACCGTAATCAGGGAAGCAGAGCTGTGCAGGGGAGCGGGCAAGGCCCTGGGAGCGTGCCTGGTAAACATCACGTTGTTGGTGTTCAGATATTAGGTTCCTGCTTTTCATAATATCCTTAGGGAACTGGGGAAGATTTGATATTTTTCTGAGATTGCTGTAAAATGCAAGTTATTGCTGGTACCATCACCCAATTATTCTGTACTTGCTTTACTTAGACTTTAGTAATTGGAAAAAGATTAGATGTCAGGTCTTTGTATTTTGTTGATTATATTACCAAAGTCTTCTCTTTAATCACTTCTTTTATTCTTAGTATTAATCACTAGCTCTGAGCGGTTAGGAGAACAGCCTAATGGTGGAGTCTCACTTGGGGAAGGAAATAATTTGGTTCGATGGTACCCGGCAAGTGTCACTGCCCCTGCATGTGGACCAGGTTCTGTGGCTGTGCAGGGCATGCGGACAGGACTCTCGAGGGGCACAGAGGCTGGCTAGCACGCAAGGCCCCTTGCCCTTGCCCCACACCCCCAGCTGGGCGTGGTGCTGCCTCTGTCTCTGGCCAGGCCCTCCTGCCCCTGCCTCTTCCTGCCTGCTGGCTTTGGGCTCCTCTGCCCGAAGCCCTGGCTGCGCACAACACAACTGCATCCTCAGGTGATGCTGCAGGGGCTCACTCATCTCCAGGAGCAGCTGCTTCCAAAGCCACAGCCGTAGCTATCCCGCCAACACGGCGAGTGAGGGGGGTGAGAGCGGAAAGGGAAACCTGCGAAGGTGGCTGGGCTGGGGGCTGGAGACGTGTGTTGGGGCCGGGAAGGGACGCACAGAGAAAAGCTGCGGGAGGGACGGAAGCTGTGTCTTGGGCCTCCCTGTGCCCAGGGGCTCCGGGGACGCTTGGGTGCGCCTTGCAAATGTGCACCAGGACTCCAATGTGAGCAGGTGGCATTTAGCTGTGCTTGACCCGAGTGGTGACTTACCTTCTCAGATACATGAAGAGCAGTCAGCCGGGTTAGCAGCACACGCCTGTCATCCCAGTACTTGGGCAGCTGAGGCAGGAGGATCTCTGTAAGTTCGAGGCCAGCCTGGGCTACACAGTATGTTCTGGCCAGCCTGAACTGCACAGTGAGACCCTGTCTCAAAAGCGCCCACCTGCTCCCCACAGTCAGCCCCTAAAATATTTATCATTTAGGGTTATTCCGGTTTCATTTACAGGCTCCTCAAAACCCTGGTGGAGGATGTGGGGGCCCAGGGAAGAGGCTGACCTCTGTAAACTGTTTCTCCTTGTTCCTTTCTCTTGTCCTCAGAGGAGTTGCGGAAGCTGAGCTGGTCCGGAATCCCTAAGCCAGTTCGTCCGATGACGTGGAAGCTTCTCTCAGTAAGTCTCTCCTCAGTCTACCTCTTTCCTCCCAAGAGCACAGCTGCCCAGCCCTGAGGGGAGGCACCAGCTGTGCTCCATGCTGCCTGTCACAGTCACACGAGGACTGAGGGGCAAGACAGCACTGCCATTCTTCGCTTAATTTTAAGGTTGATTTGATGGGGCTGGTAGAAAGTAATACTTTCCAGTAGCTGTACTCTTCTTACCTGGTGTTTAGTGTAAAATCATTCTAGGGTGGCCACCTAGAATATAGGAAGTGTAGCATAGAAGGTCACTCCACTCTGAGAAGGTGAAAGAGGGATGAGGGATGCATCAGAATGTGTGTGCGCGCGCACACGCATGTGTGTTATTAGTACTGATAGCGGGGGGGGGGGAGGCAGAGAGTGGATATGAAAGACAGGGGAGACCGAGAGAGACAGAGAGAGAGAAAGACCAAGAGAAGAGACAGAGAGAGGATGAGAGAGAGAGACAGAAAGACAGAGAGAGGAAGAGAGCGAGAAGACAGAGAGGAAGAGAGAAGACAGACAGAGAGAGAGACAGAGACACAGAGAAGAGAAGGAGACAGGAAGAGAGAGACAGAGAGAAAGAGAAGGGACAGAGACGCAGAGAAGAGATGAAGAGAGAGAGACCAGAGTCAGAGACAGCGAAGGCACACACAGGGCTGTGGGGCGTCTGTGCCCGGTGGAGAGCGGGTCCGGCTGCCCAGTCCTCGCTCTGGGCCGCGGCCCCAAGCCCCTCCGAAAGAGCCTGGCGGGCGTGTGCTCACCCGCAAGCCCCTGTGTACCTGGTTAATCCCAGCCTAATACTGAACATGAGTTCAGCTCTCAGAACATTCCAGAGTAGTTATAGACAGTGTTCTTCTCTGCGCCTTTTTTATTGTTTTGGCACTGTGTCAGTAGAGAGCTCCTAAGTGTCTACTCTGAATTGGGTCTGGCTGCAGTGTTTGAGACTCTTTCCTGCTAATGAGTCTTAATAAATCTGCAGCTCATAACCTCATATGCCTAAATGCAGATGCAGCGCTGAACCGTGAATATTTATTGATTAAATATTCTCTTGCAATTAAAACTGTACCTGCTGTGGTTGTTTGTATTTTTGTTTTGTGTTTTTTTATTTTAAGCGTTTATATCCAGTCATCCTAATCTTATCTAAGAGAGGCAACAGACTCCTCAGAGTGTTTGTAGACAGGACCAGGGCATGCACAGTCGGCTGGGAAGCTGGTCGCTGGCAGTAGCGTGCCCCATGATGGCAGAGCACAGGGGGCTGGGCTGGGCTGGGTGCAGGCTGGCCGGAAGCTGGGGCAGGTCGTCTGGGCAGCTCCGTGAGTAGGAGGTCAGCTGTGGCCCACCCAGGACTGCGAGGTGGAGAGGGAGGCACACAGGACTGAGGGGCGCTCATCATGGTGACAGGTAACCAGAGCTACCCCAGAACCAGCTACCTGGTTCAAGACCAGGTGCACTAAGGACTTCTCCCAGCACGTCTGCACGGCCCTGACATGTCTGAGAAGCGGTCAGGCGTCCTGTATCCCGAACAAGCCAGTAAGCCACCAGGAATGCCACGTAACATTTAAATTCCACTGTAGTGCCTTTGAAAAAATGAGTGCTCCCCATATCACTTTTAATGTCCTTGCTTTGTTTTGTTTGTATTTTCCTATTGTTCTTTTTTTTCACTATTCTCATTAAAATAAAAAAAAGTAAAAGGAGTGCTGTAGAGAACCATATTTTTGGCTCTCTTTTTAGTAACTATTTCAGCAACAACAAAAACTAATTAAATGTTTAACATTTCCGCCCGTGCGTATGGTGATGAAGAGTGATTCGCGCCACTCACCCTCTTCCAGCACGGCGAGGGGTTCTTGCACGGCCCGGTGGGAGGGGCAGTTGAGTTTCATGTCACCGGGGCAATTTAGGTATAAGTATATGCATGCATTGTTTTACATTTATGATTAGTGTTTTTATAGCATGCTAATACAGCAATTAAGTTTTCTGTAGTTCTGTCATTTAAAATTCATTGCATACTTGAATGTATTTCATTTGCATAATTTCTAGTCTTGCCTAATTATCGCCAGGCCTCAACTTGCGTATACTTTAGGAACGGGAGTGCTGGGTGTGTGTGGGGCTTTTTCTTGCTCGTGGCCCGATGATGATGTACCTCCCTTTGAGAATTTGGGCTGCAGTGGGCTAAGTTAAAAGGCGGGTAACAGGGAGCGTTTCGAAGAGTGCTTACTCTGTTGGCCCTGTTTGTGCACCAGGGCCAGCTCACTCCCTCCAACAGCCTGGAGGCCCCGCTGTCCTGTGTGGCTGCCATGTGCCGCCCTGGCACACTGGCACTGTGCTTGAGATGCTGCATATAGTGCCATGCCTGTGGTCTGCCAGGCTGCTTCGGCGCTGCCCGACCTGGACGTGCGTCTGCCCACCCCATGCTTTGTCGCTGCCTCACTCTCTCTGTCTTCATCAACATCAAAACCAAACCAAACTGGGAAAGTATGTTGGCCCAGCTGGCTGGTCAGTGCAGGAGTGTTCCACGCTCTTGGGGGAGAGCTGTAGGCCAAAGGGAGGAGCTTCTACCATGGTAGGAGGCGACAAAGGGAAGCTGAGTCAGCAAGGTTGATGGAAGGGGATAAATACCACAGAGAACACACGAGGCAGGGTGCGGGCGAGGCGCTGTTCTTGTGGATGGTCCGGAGGGTCTCACGAACAGGTGGCCTCTGAGCTGGGACTTGCAGGAGGGAAAGGGGAGCTCACGGGGTCCTGGGGTCACAGTCCAGTTTGTTTCTGTGAAGAGGTCTTGTCTGTTTTAGCCAGTGTGTGTCCCCAGTGCGTCTCAGACCAGACAATCCCTGTCTGGATGAGGTGCCGCTGAAGATGAAAGGGGGACGTTACAGAAGCAGTGCCACTGGGACCATGAGACAGGATCCTGAGACGGGGCAGGAGGCAGGCACTAAAGAGCAAAGCGTGGTGGTGGCAGGGCCGCCACCAGCCCCGCCAGCGCCGAGAGCAGCTGTGGTAGCCTCAGCTCTGTGCACTCCACTCGCCTGTATCATGGTCTCTGTGAGCCCCCCATTCCTGGTGCCAGGCAGAGAGCCTGGAATGGGCGCTGTGGTCTGTGTCTGTGGTGACTGCAGGGGGCCCTGGTCACTGGGTCGTGTGCACACCCAGCTGGGAAATGCACAACTGCAGGTGTGCCAGGCAGCTGGACACACCCGGCACTGTGGATCAGGCTGTTGCTGTTGCCCCGCTCAGCACGTTAGCCGTGCCCTCAGCAGGGCACAGTGCCGGAGGGGAGCAGCCACGCTCTCCTCAGCAGGGTTTGAGGGTCCCTTACCGTCAGCCAGCCCGCTCTGTGGTGGGGGCTGCCTTCCAAGGTAGTGGAATTAATGGGCGTCACTGTGGGCGAGGGTAGCGGACCCCAGGGTGTGACGAGGCTGCTGTCAGTTGCTACCCCTTCTCTCAGGGCTTCTTGGAAATGAGGTGCCTTGAAGACCTCTTCAGTTTGATCATAACATAAGATTAATGTTTACATTTTAAAAACTTATTATAATAATAACACATTGCCATGGATCCCCCTCAAAATACTAGCCCTCCCCACTTTGAACACACTCATCCCATCGTTCTTGACACTTTCTGAAGCAGTTCTGGAGTCCTCTTTCGTGAGTGTCTTTGGGAGGTGTGATAAAAAATTCGGTGCACTCTGCTGCTGAGTGCCGTCCAGCGGAAAGGCAGGCTCCTAAAAATGTTACGTTCACCAGATCTGGTAATGTACGGCTTCTGGCTCTTCCTCAAAGTCAAAATGTCCATGGAAAGGAAACATTTTGCATTGATTTAGGACACTGAGGCGGCCACGACAGGGCAACCAAAGACACTCAGGGAAGAGGGCTCCAGAGCTGCTGCAGAAAGTGGCAAGAAGGATGCATGAGTGTGTTCGATGTGAGGAGGAGGATCCCGAGGGGGATTCATGGCATTGTGTCTTTTCCTGTTTAACTTAAAATAAATACTCACCATATTTTTCAATCACGCCTGTTAGGTATCCCTTTGAGCTAACAGTTCACTTGTAGGACTCTGATCTCAGGCAATAACAGACATTGCTAGCTGACATGTTCATTAGAGTATGGACCACTGCAAAATGTGAAAATAGTTTGAAATAGGGGGTGGGTTACATACACTTACACATAAGCACCCGTGACGGGAGCCCAGCAGCCTTCAGGGCTCACAGGTGAGCAGGAGTTGGCCCACTGTTTCTCGAGGTCTGGGCAGGAAGCACTCTGGCTGGCGCTCATGGTCTCCTCTGCAGTCATGCACAAACTGGTGCTGTGGGGGTGAGCAGGCACGCAGGGCATGCGAACACCTAGGCTTGCTGGGTTCCAGCAAAGTCGTAACCTACGCAGTAGGCGGTGGCTGCAGTCACCGACCTCTGCGGTGGGACTGCAGTCAGTCACACTGGGACGTGCTTGTGACTTTAAATGAAGTATGTCAGTGCGGAATGTGGGGCAAGGGAAAGTTTCTTGAGAAGTGCATGAAAAGGACTAACTATAAGGATGAGCACACGGGCTGTGTCTGACAGGAACTTGGGTCCATCAGAAGGCATCGTTGACACCACGGGGAGGACAGGACACTTCCCACAGGGCTCACTGGCCGGTTGTCGGACTGGGGCCGGGGTGTGGAAGAAGGAGGCAGTCAGGAAGGGGTAGCACCTGAATGCGCCCCCCCCACGCCACACCTCTCACTGCTGCTTGTGAAATGCTGGTGCAAATCACAAGCTGCTGGAGACAGCGCAGACCCGTGGAATGGGCACGGGGGGGCGTGGGGGGTGGGGAAAGCTGGGCGACAGCCCCGTGTTGGCAAGGACGGAGAATGGTGGAAGTCCCTGCACACTTCGGGGGGAGTGTTATCACTTGGACAGGTGTCCAACCAACTCTTTAAAGGTGTGTGTATCTCTCCGTTCCACTCCCAGGTGTGTACTTCACAGAGATGCATGTCTTGTGCCGTAGAGTACAGACACAAAGATGTTTAAGGCAAGAACTGGAAACCAGAGTGGATTTTGTACATGGAGGTGCCGGGGCACAGTGGAAATAGATGACTGTCTTCTATTCTAACCCAAACCATTTCCCCACGCGTAACGCTGCGTGGAGGGCAGTGGGTCCGCTTCCAGAGGAGCCTCCCGAGGGCCTGCCGGCGGCCGTCTGGCCTTTACCCTGGTGGTGTTTGCACAGGTGTGTTCAGCTGGTAGACTCACATTTTGGGGTTTGCTCTCCCGAGTGCGTGTAGGACAGCGGCCTTTTGGAGCTGTGCTGCCTCATGACGTCGTGCTTGTCTTGTTTGTGTGAACATGAACTGTGAGGTTCTCATGGTAGTGGACTTGCCTAAGGTGCGTTCTCAGCACTTGATGCATGACTGTGCTTCAGTATGTGTGTTTGTCCTGCACGGTGGCTGCTGACGGAAAGGCCCTAAGGAAACTGAAAGGTATGCACTACAAAGCTGAAGACCCGGCTAGACTCCAGCTCTGGTTTTAGGGTCAAGGCCTGGGAACCCTGAGCTCTGCTTTTCTGGGTGGAGTTGCTGCTCATGGTTCTCCCTGCGGTTGGACTGTGACTGCCTCAGCTGCACACTGTCCACATTCACTTCGATTTACAGCAGCAAAGAGAAGTCCCAGCTTGGCTGTTAGGCCTGCGTCAGCCCCTGAGTCTCTCCGTCACTGTGGCCAGCGGGATGGTGTCCCTGTGTTGTTCTTCCCGGCCGAGACTTGTCCTGAAGGAAACTTGCAGGAAGAAACAGGGAGAAAATCCTTCTGATGCAGGACCCAGGAAGTACTTAATGATACAGGAAAGGCATTATGAGTTGGACTTCAGGGAAATTTAACACTTGAGGGTTTGACGTGTGAAAAAGTAGTGACAGACTGGGGTGATATCATCGTAATATGTGTATTTTAAAGAGAGCCTTGTATGTAGAATGTATGTTGAGCCCAGCAACTCAGTAAGAAGACAGACACTGAGAGTAACGGTGGGTGGAAGGCAGGGATACTTCATCTAAGAAGAGAGGCACTGGCTACGTGAAGACATTTCTCATCGTTCATCATTAGCAGAATGGATCAAAGCCATACCCAGCAGAGTGACTAGCATTTAAAGGAGTCACATTCCTAAGCGCTGGAGGGGAATTAGGAATTCTTACAGCGTTGCTGGTTGAAATGGAAAATGGTGTAACCTCTTTGGAAAAAGGTCTGGTAGTTTCTTAGGAAACAAAATAAGCTACATTATGATCTAGTAACTGCACTCCTAGGTACAGTGATACCTTGGTTCACAAACTTAATTTGTTCCACAATTCTGGAAAAGATGGCCTGCGGGAAAGATGGCCAAGGTCAGTGATGATAACAACCTGCTGCAGCGTGCATGTGGTAGGTTCGCCACCACTGGCCATGGTCAGTTCATAACCTGGTGCAGAATACACAAACAGCAATAAAATTTTGCCAAACACTCTATTTGTGAATCAAACTGTTCACAAACAAAAGTGTTTGTGAACCGAGGTACCATTGTAGTTGAGCATGAAAAGTAAAAATGACTATTTCCAAAAGTATTATGCAAGACTATCGATAGTATATATAATAGCTCCCAGCTGGAAGCAGCCCATATGCTGACCAGCGGGTGAGTGGCCTAACTGGTACACCCTTGCAGCCAAATACTACTTGAAGGGCAAAAGCAAAGAGCGGCCTGGTTCATGCAGCAATGTGGCTGAATCTCAGAAGATGGTGTGCCCAAATTCTGGGTCCTGAGCAAGTCCCAGACAGACCTGCCATCCCTGGGGAGGGGGTGGTACTACCCTACACCAGGATGGGAGGGTGCTGGCAAGCATTCAGGGCCTGGGTGTGCCCCATATCTTCCTGGGGCAGCGGCCACCCAGCTGACACCCTCATCAGAGCTCATGGAAATGTACTTAAAATGGGTGCATCTTGTGTTATAAATCATACATCAATAGTGTTCATTTCAAAAGTAGAAACAAGGGAACAAAACCCATCCCCATAAAACACCAGGCAGCCTGGGCTCCTCCTGACCTCCAGGGCTACGGTCCCTTTCTGGATCCGAGTCCTCCATGTATATTGCATCTACAGCTGCCAGAAGCCAGGGGAGTTTATGAAGTAGGGTGGATTTGCCTAAGGGGCAGCTTTGTGCACACACGTGTGAGCAGGCACGTGTGTGTGGTGCGGGTGTGAGATCATCCAGGCTCTTGGTCCTTACGGTCTGTGAGGCACTGGGAGAAGGCGTCGCTGTATCTTCCAGCCAAGCCTCACCAGCTGGAATGTGGACTCGCTGGCCTGGGGCTGCTGACGCCCTGGATCCAGACCTGCCCGACTTTCACACTCCCTGTGTGGGATTGCAGAGCACCGAGCCCGTTTCAGATGGGAGCTTTCCCCCAGCCACTATATTTTTTAGTTTTCATTTTTTTCAGTGCGTGTTTGCTGTACATACTGGTCACATTCCTTGCACGGAGTCGACACTTGTACCGAACGCACCTTAATTCTTTTTCCAGCCCCTCCTCCCCCTCCCCATGTGAAAATGATCCGTCTCCCTGTTTCCTATTATCTTTTATTTTGTTCTGTGTATACTTTGTGTTTCTCATGCAAGAGAAGCCATGTGACATTTAAGTTTGTCCGATTTATTTCACTAACACAGACGTGAGCCTTGGTATTTCCCACTTCTGATCGTGGCCCTGTGGGTAAGCAGCAGCCATGTGTACGTAGTCCTGTGCTTTTCTTTTCTCCCAGGGTTACCTTCCTGCCAACGTAGACCGGAGACCCGCCACTCTGCAGAGAAAGCAGAAAGAATACTTCGCTTTCGTGGAGCACTACTACGATTCTCGGAATGACGAAGCTCACCAGGACACGTACCGACAGGTGGACGCCTTTCCTTTCCATGTATCTCGTGAAGCTGTTTGATGTGGTGATGGCGCAGGAAGAAATGTTTTATCTAGCTCATCTGTGATTGGTTCACAGGTTTTTATTTTCTAATAAATAAATGCATATATCGGAAAACCAACAACGCTAAGTTTCCACTGATGATAATACCTAGCGTCCCTTTTACAAAAGGAAAAAGAGTATTCGAGATTGGAGGTGCAGAATAGATGCCTGAGGTCTGCGTAGGAGTGTAACCACCTCAGGGCAAGGGTGGGCGTTTTGCGTCCCGAGAGCTGCTGTCTGAGGGACCAGGGCTGCTCCTGCCCTGCCCTGCTCCTCGCGCCATGACATGGGGGCCCCATGGGGCTGACAGGCCTTGTGCTCCCTGGTACAGTTAGGTTAGGGGTTTAGGGGTGAGTGCAGGTAGGTGAGAGGTGACCTAGCCACCTTAGTCTTGACGGGATGAAACTCAGTCCATAGCTGAAGGTGTGGCCAGTTTGTTCTTTTGCTACTTAGTCTGATAAAAAGTGGTTATAATTACAGTTTCTTGAGCAGTCAGTCGACAGATTATATTCATAATGAGAAAAACACTTAAAATTGATTTACAATTCACAGCACATCCAGAACTTGCTGGTAGAATAGCTCTTTGAGGACTTTATAATTCTTACTCTCTGTGTAATATGTGAAAGTTCGGAATGGTTTAGTTCTTAATTGGTTTCATTGTCTTGTGTCTGCAGTCAGCTTCTAGCTTTCCTGAGGCTTGTCTGTGCTGAGTGTTTCTCTTTGCAAGCTCTGCATCTAGGTGGAGGAGCTCTGCCAAGTTTTCTGTCCTCCTGGGACAGCCCCATCTCTCTGTTGTTTGGGTGTAGATCTGTTGGAAAGGTCCAAAGACTGGCCTTACTTCCGATTCATAATCAAAGGTTCTTCAGGGCAGTGGGTTCTTTGGAAAGTGTCTTCCTGTCCGTAGGCTGTTGCTGGGGCCAGGAGGCTTGGGGCTTGCGGAGGAGGAGGAGGAGGAGGAGGAGGAGGCGACCCCACCTCTGCCACTCCAGCCGTCCTTCCGTCCCTCCGTCCTTCCATCCTTCCCATCCTTTTGCCTCATATTGGGTGCTCTCGGCCCACGCTGGGCTGTCACCCAGGAACCCCAGGGAACTGATTGGACGCAGATTGTGTTTTTATTTGGGCAAGGAAATTTTAGCTTACCTGCTTTATTTTTCCACTTCACCGGTTTTTTGAAATGGATAAATTTGGTATTGTTTTGAACCTGTTTTTGATGCATTCTTATTCAAGGAAAAGACTTACACAGGGTGGCACCAGCAGGATTGCCGGGCTGCGTTCTGCCAGGAACTGCTGAAAGGAAAGTTAATTACAGGCAGGTTGCACACATCTTGACTTAGTTACTGAGATAGGTAATAAAAAGATCCCATATTACCTTGAATTCCCATAATATTTCCACATTAATATAAATGAGAAAATGTGATGTCAGGAGCAGGAGGTTTTCCTGTCTGCCTGATTCTTCTGCACTGGGTTTGGGGTGGCTCCCCATGCTTTCTCTCTGTGGCCATTTCCACCCAAGCCATGGTGTCCCACGCCAGTGGGGTGGCAGAGGGGGTGGCCTTAGCATGTCCTCCAGGTGCCTTGTCCTTTAGCCATTTGAAGATGTCCTGTCAAGGCCACGCAGAGTTGTTTAGAGTGAAAGATTTCTCTTTTTCCCTCTGTGGGCCATTCCGCAGACCTCTGTGGCCTTTGTCCCAGCCACCTGGGCCTGTGCATGATGGGGCAGGCTAGGGGCGGGAGAAGTCGCGTTCCTGTCCACCCAGCGCTGTGCAGCTCCCTCCTCTTGTGTGCAGGCAGTGAGGTGTGACGGGTGCTTTGTGTTGGCCAGGTCATAGCATGTTGCTCGTGGTCCTGCGTAAGCTGGGCACTGCTGGCCCTGGCATACAGAGGCAGATGACACCGGGTTCCTGTCCTGCAGGGCCCATGGTGCTTGTCCAGGGATAAGCACCATGCTGTGGGTAGCGTGCTGTGGGTGGCCCTCAAGGATGCCCTGGTAGTCAGTGTGGCAGCCATGTCCCCTGCCTGTGACAGGGCTCCTACATGCGGCTGGCTACCTGGTGTCTTCTGACGCTGCCAGGCTGTAGGGCGCTGTCGCCCCCACAGTCCTGTGCACGTCATCGTCGGTGCACGTGCCTCTCAGCTGGTTCCTTGGGCTCAGGGCCCACAGCCATCCTTGCTCTGCCCCTGTAGCATTTTGAAGTTTGCAGAGTGGGCTTCTTATTGATAAGGAGGCTGAGCCGGAGCTGGAGCGCTTAGACCTGCAGCCTCAGGCCAGCATGTGCAGAACGAGGTGGTCACCACACGCTCCGGGATGTTTGGCTCCCTGCGAGCGGGGCAGGGAGGCCCTGGAATGAAACGCAGCTGCAGCCCCTCCTGGTTTTAGATGGGTCTTGTCTCAGCCTGCGATGCTGTCGTCGTCCCGGAGAACGGGGGCGGTGGCTGGTGGGGGGCGTTCTCACAGGATGGGATATGAGCGCCAGCCTGCGATGCCAGCTGTGCGCCCTCTGCCCCTTTTTGGTTTCTTCTTGAACTCAGGCGTGCCCTTCTCTGCAGCGTTGGCAGCGTTGTTACAGCTCATGTCAGACGGTGGCCAGGCAGGAGTTGGCAGACACCAGCAGAGACTTTCAAGTGGTTCCTTTTAAAAGTCTCCCAGACTCCCCAAGGACCTGGTGAAGTGGAGGAAAATGTGGCCCGTGTTCCAAGAAGGCGCTGTCACAGCTGAAACCCTGCACACTATTGATGTACTGGAATTGCTCTCTGTGTCAGAGGCTGAAAATCAATGTTTACTAATTGCTATGGATTATGTTACTAAATAGCTGAGAGCCTGCTCTGCTCCTAATCACACAGCAACCTGTGCTTGGTTGGGAAAGTGTCAGGCAAACCTGTCGCTCTAGGACTGAGCCTCGGTCATATGGCACGTGCTTCTGAACACTCTTCCTAAGCAGGACTTGGTGATGGGTCGGTGTCCTCTCAGCAGAGGGACAGGGTAGGCTCAGCACTAAGTGCTGCTTTTTGAATCATGATGCTTGTAATGATATTTGTCATCCTTTCCATTAAATGTTTCTTTCTCCTGCATCTCCAGATTCACATAGATATCCCGCGGATGAGCCCCGAAGCATTAATACTGCAGCCCAAGGTGACGGAGGTAAGAGGAGGAGCCGTGACCGGAAGTTCATGCTGTCTCTGTCTCACTGTGTGAAGGCCCGTGCTCGGTACCAGCACGAGCCAGTGCGACAGTGGGTTCACTTGAGGGGCTTTACTCAGAATCAGGTGTAGGGGCCCAGTTTCTGGGCAGTTTCCCTTAATGGACATAGTTGCTGATAGGAATTGCTAATTGTTCTTAACATATTTTTGCATAATATCGTTACATACCAAAGAATAGATGTAATATATGTGTGTGTCTAGGTTAAACTCATAGTCACCCCAGCTTTAGGAACTGGAACTCTGCCAGCGCTGGCCAACATGCTCGAGTGAACTTGCACCTGAGCCCCTGGGCCGTTTCTCGTGTGTTGTTAGGAATGGCGTCATGGGCCCCGTCACGTCCAGCTGCACAGGTGCCCCCAGACTGGCTTTCTTGAAGAGGTTACAGAGGAGCGTGGTTGAGGCCCTGGTGCCGAATGCCTGTTCAGCTCTCTGAGGACGCCAGTGCTTCCCACAGGGCATTCCTGCCCGGTGGTTCCTGCCGCTGCTAAGCCTCGCTATTTCTGCATCTCTGGTGGATACTCGTATCATGCTGGTAGTTTTCAGACCTCTGATTACTGGTGCGGTTAAGCACCTCTGTGTAATTACAGGTGTTTTCTGTGTTTCTTGACCTGGAAATGTGTGTCCTTGTGTACACCCTGCTTCGGGGGTTGTTGATCTTTATACATTTGGGTTTATAATTGTGACTGTGTGCTGCACATATCTCCTTCCAGTCTGTGGCTTCTGTCTCCCTTTCTATTAGTAGCTTTGATGAGAGAAGTTCTTAATTTTAGTGTGGTTGAACTGGTCAGTCTGTTAGGGTTAGCACCGATGTGCTTTACTTAAGCAGTTTTCTCCGCACACACCTTATAAAGTGTCCTTCCATATTTTCATCTGAAAGTTTTGCTTTCACACCTCTGTATTTAATCTCTCTGTTCTTGACAGCCGTGTCCATAAGACCGGGTCCGCCCTGATGCCCTCTGTGGACTCTGGCTGCCGCTCCACATTCCCAGTGTCACTTGCGTTGTAGATTGTTGTCACGTGTGTGTGCATCTGTCTGGGTTTTCTGCTCTGTTGGAGTGCGTGGTTGTCTTCTTAACAGGACACTTTGTGAGCTAATGCAGCTTTGTAATGTCTTACGTTTGCGGGGTGGGGAGCTCACCGCCTTTTGTTCCTCCCCAGATTCGCTTGCATGGCCTTGCTCTGTGCTCTTTCGTACAGGTCCAGAGTCAGACCACCAGGTTTTTGTTTTTAAGGTCAATTTGATTTATATTTAAAATTACATAGACTCTCTAGATCCACTTGGGGCAATTGACATCTTTATGAAATTTAGCTTTTATTTTTATGAACATGCTGGTTTCCCATTCTTTTAGGCCATTTTTATGCCATGGAGTGAAGTTTTTAATACCATGTATAAAGGATCTTGTCTGTGCTCTCTTGTATTTTATTCCTGATTCCATATTTTTGTTGCTAAAGTAAGTGGCATGTCTTCCAAGTGGAGTTTTCTTACTGTTTGAGTTATTTTGTTGTTTTGCATCCTGATTCCTTCGGTAAATACGCTTTTAAATGTTGACGTCTCTTGTCTGGGCGGTAAATCTGTTTAAAAGCATTCTGAGATTGTTAGCCAAGGTTCCTACGGACTGTGGAACACGAAGGAGGCAGTTGGGCTCCCGTGGACACAGGCTCTGAGAGGCCTGTCTTCGGGTGCCCTTTCCGGTGCTGTGCGCTCGGTGTCTGGAAACCAGAGATAATGCTGCATAGCGTGACTTCCTTTGTACCTCATTTTTACATGGGCTTTGCTTGTGCATTTCTGCCCTTCTACTCAGAGAGCTGACCTGAGCCTCTTGATCGCAGAGCGCGGCTCCAGTGTTGCCCTCAGTTGGGGTCAGCAGGGCCTGGCTTCGGAGGGTGGGGAGCGACTCCCCTGCGGGCGTGAAGGTCGCAGGTCGGAGGGCACTGTGCACCCTCGGGCGGGGCTCGCACCAGCTGTTTGGGTGGTCAGTGGGTCCCTGGAGTGCGGCCTGGGATGGGGTGCGGGAACACAATGATGAGCAGGGCCCGCGCAGTCTGGAAGAGCTGGCTCCACGCAGCAGTGTGGAACCGAGACTTCTCCTGCTGTAGAGGTTAGGCTCAGGTGCACCTTTGGGTGACAGCAAATCCATAACCGTTGCGGTGTCATGAGGGAGGAGTCTCCTGAAGGAATTCTCTGCCAGTGAATTACTTGCTCCTCTGTGCTTGGCTTTCACCTCATGCGCCAGGGTGGCTGCTTCGCGGTCTGCCTCGTGTCTGCATCCCACCAGCCGGGAACGACAGTGAGATGCCGGGGGAAGGGCACGCACCCCACCCCCTTTAGTGTTGGGTCAGCTGCTGTGCACTGCTGCCCGTACCCCGCCGGCTGTGTGGGAACCAGGGACCCGATCTTGACTTTGTTGGTCACGAGCTCTGTGCTGTTCGGGCTTCTGGCTCAGGAGGGGCTTCTGCCACAAGCATGCTTCACACACCGTGTGTCCATGCCGTCTACCCACTCAGCGCTGATAGCTGGTTCTGCTGTCATTTCCTCCTTGCCCTCCCTTCCCCTTTTCCTCTTTCTCTGTTTCCGTTTCCTTCTTACTTTTTATAGTTTTGAGACAGGGTCTCACTATGTAGCTTAGGCTGGCCTTGAACTCGTCAAGTTCCTTCTGCCTCGGCCTCCTGAGTGCTGGGATAACAGGTGCGCGTCTCGGGCCTGGCTGCATCTTTGCTTCTTTCCCCCTCCCTCTGTCCTTTTCTTCTTCCGCTCAGCTTTCGTGACGTCTAGTGAGCAGACAGTCAGCTTTGCCCATTTCAAGTGCACTTCCGGTGTGTTTTGCTGCCGTGTACAGGAATGCTCACTCGGTGCAGTGAGTTTATTGGAGAATCATGTTCAAGCGTGGCATTTGGGCCTTTCCGGTGGAAACATTAATCATCTGCCAAGGTACTTTTCCTCCTTTGTTTTCTGATTACCTGCCTTCTGGTTATCACATTTTAGAGCACCTCTCAAATTATAGAACTAAGAGCTCTTTTCCAGTTAGCCACAGAGCAGCGGGGTCTCATTACATTTGAACAGACAGAGTCAGGGAACCAGCAGACCTGTGAAACCAGGTAGGGTCTTCACTCACTCAGGGAGCCGTCTGTGACCTAAAGGAATGGCGTTTTTTAGGCTGCAGGCCCTGATGGAGGCGAGTTTGTTTACACAGACTCTTCCCTTCCACTGTGTAGGTTTTGTGGCGGGTTCCCCAGCTGTGGAGCAGGCAGGTTGCACAGAATCAGCCCCGGGGGTCTGGCTGGGGGCCGGGGGGCTGGTTCTGAGGATGGAGGCCGTGCAGCCAGGTCCTGATGGGTGTGGCCTGCATCTGCGGACCTCCTAACTTTACGGCCACCAGGGCCTCGCAAGCTCCCTCTGGGCCTGGCTGCAGCCCTGTGCTCCCGCCCGCTCCACTCGGTTGGCCTGGGAGTTGCCTGCTAAACCTCACTTGGGTGTTTTCAGTCCTGGGCACCACAAGTCCAGTTGAGTGGACCAGTGTGAATGAGCTGCCTGGCTGGTGCTTTGGCCAGCGCCCAGGGTTTAGGTCTCTCCCCGGAGCCTGTGAGCTCTTCGGGACCAGGAGCTGGCTCTGTTTTCCCCACCAGAGTCTCGTGGCACCCACCATGGTGCCAGTCCTTCCTCTCCCAGCGTGGGCATTCTTTTTTGGCGTGTGCAGGTGCCACGTGATGCCAGAGCCCTTGCCTGGGGGCTTGGGAACCGAATGTGCTGTTGTACCCGGGCTTCTTGACTCCGCGTCTCTGTCTTTGGTGTCGTGATTGCTTTTCCCTTCAGAGGTGCGGGTACCTTTGTGGGAGCCCAGGAGAGGATGTGTGCTGTATTGCAGTCACTTGGCCAGACTCATCCGGTACGTACACTGGGGAGTCCATCTACAGAGCTTTCTGCTCTTTGTATTTTTATAGGTGAAAAACATCAGAGCAGAGGGAGTTTTTAACATTTATGTCTAACTTCAAGAAAAAATTAAAAATTTAACTTCAGATCCTCAGTGTCAAGCTTAAAAAATAGAACAATGCTAAGGTCTCCGAAATCCCTTTTTGTCCCTTAAATATTTGAGATATGTATATTACCCATTTCACATATATTCTCCCGCATGCATGGGTCTCTAACGGGTGGGTGCACGGCTCTCCTGTGGGGGAGTGGGTGTGTTCTTCTCTCTCACAGAGGAGCTGAGGCGCTGTAGCTTTGTGGAAGACATCCCTTCCTACCTCGCTGTCTGCCTTCCGCATGTAGGAGCGCAGTCTGCATAGCGCTGACTGCATGCTGCCGGCAGCCGCAGTCCACTTCCGTTCCAGGTGCCTGTGTGGCCAGCGCCGCCCCGGCTTCCCAGGGCTCGCAGTGTGGGCTCCTCTGTTCTCTCCTCCGTTCCCCTGCTCTCTCTGCCCCTCTGGTCCCAGCCTCATCCTGTCTTGATCATCGGAGCCGTGAGCCTGGTGGGACAGGCCCACCACCTGTGCCTTGTTTAGTGTCTTAGCTATTCATGACCTTCGCTTTTGTGTGTTAAGGTCAGTTCTTAGATTTCAGGAATCTCAGGAATTAAGTTGAGTCTGTTGATGAGTTTGAAGAGAATTATTATTTTTTTTTGCGTGTATTCAGTTCTCCTGGCCTTTTATACAGCTTGTTAAATTTATTCAGAGGTACATTTTTATAAATAGTGTGCTTAGAACTTCTAATTTCATCGTCTGCCTTATTTTTTTATTGTCAGTTGATGGACATGCAGTTGGCTTTTCTCAGTTGATTTTTTTTTTTAGCAAAATGGGTTTTAAAGGCACAAAGTCAGCAGTCTGCCTGTTTTCCAGCCTCAGCAAAGAAACATTATAGAGTAGAAGGGTCAGTTGTGCATTTAAAAAACAAAATATATTTGGAGTCATCTTAAAAAGTTCAGATTTCATTTGTTGACTCATAGC